GATCAGATCTGATCAAATGCACGTGTCTGCATGTTTTACCTGTTTGACTGACAGCTCATGGAGAGCGTTTCACATTCAAACATCATGTGTCTGATATTTGTCTGCCTCTCATTTGCTACATGGTGACATTCACACGTCACAGATGGACGTCGTCCTCGTGCTGTGTATTTTCTGTTGTTTGAGAATGTTTTGCTGGTTTTATGCTGATGTGATCAGAGAAATGATATGAAATCATTCGTCCAACAGAGGCTCCAGCAGACAGCGAGGGAAGATCTCCAAGATCTGCATAAATTTGACCTTTCTTGGCTTTTCCAACCAAGACTAGAAGTCCAGAGACGAGGGTCAGCTGCAGGTTCTTAAACATGTCGCTGGGTAACATCAGCGTGCTATGAACCTCAGGCAAATTCAGAGGGGAAGCGTGGACCAGGGGAAGTCTACGAGGCCGAGAAAAAGAAGAGGGGCCTGTCCTCTCACACCTGTCCCCACTCACACCTGTCCCCTAACCCTGTCCCCCTCACACCTGTCCCCTCACACCTGTCCCCTCTCTCAGCTTTCCCCTCACACCTGTCCCTAACCCTGTCCCCCTCACACCTGTCCCCTCACACCTGTCCCCCCTTCACACCTGTCCTCTCTCACACCTGTCCTCACACCTGTCCTCTCTCACACCTGTTCTCTTTCACACCTGTCTGCCCTCACACGTGTCCTCTCACACCTGTCCCGACTCAGCTCTGTCCTCTCTCACACCTGTTCTCTTTCACACCTGTCCTCTCACACCTGTTCTCTTTCACACCTGTCCCCTCACACCTGTTCTCTTTCACACCTGTCCCCACTCACACCTGTCCTCTCACACATGTCCCCCTCACACATGTCCCTCTAAGACCTGTCCCCCCTCACACCTGTCCCCTCTCACACCTGTTCTCTTTCACACCTGTCCCACTCACACCTGTCCTCTCACACATGTCCCCCTCCCACATGTCCCCTCTAAGACCTGTCCCCCCTCTCACACCTGTCCTCTCACACCTGTCCTCTCACACATGTCCCCTCTAAGACCTGTCCCCTCTCACACCTGTCCCCTCTCACACCTGTCCTCTCACACCTGTACCCCCTCACACCTGTTCTCTCACACCTGTCCTCTCACACATGTCCCTCTAAGACCTGTCCCCCCTCACACCTGTCCCCTCTCACACCTGTCCTCTCACACCTGTTCTCTCTCACACCTGTCCTCTCACACCTGTCCTCTCACACCTGTCTCCTCACACCTGTCCTCTCACACATGTCCCCCTCGCACATGTCCCCTCTAAGACCTGTGCCCCTGACACCTGTCCTCCCTCACACCTGTCCCCTCACACCTGTCCTCTCACACCTGTTCTCTCTCACACTGACCTCTCACACCTGTCCCCCCACACCTGTCCTCCCACACCTGTCCCCTCACACCTGTCTCTCTCACAGCTGTCCTCTCACACCTGTCCCCCTCAGACCTGTCCCCCTTCACACCTGTCCTCTCACACCTGTTCTCTCTCAAACCTGTCCTCTCACACATGTCCCCCCTCACACATGTCCCCTCTAAGACCTGTCCCCTCTCACACCTGTCCCCTCTCACACCTGTCCCCTCACACCTGTCCCCTCACACCTGTACCCCCTCACACCTGTTCTCTCACACCTGTTCTCTCTCAAACCTGTCCTCTAACACCTGTCCTCTCACACCTGTCCCCTCACACCTGTTCTCTCTCACACTCTCCTCTCACACATGTCCCCTCTAAGACCTGTCCCCCCTCACACCTGTCCACTCTCGCACCTGTCCTCTCACACCTGTCCCCCCTCACACCTGTCCCCCTGACTCCGTCCCTCTCACACCTGTCCTCTCACACCTGTCCCCCTCACACCTGTCATCCCTCACACCTGTCCCCCCTCACACCTGTCCTCTCACACCTGTTCTCTCTTACACTGACCTTTCACACCTGTCCCCCCTCACACCTGTCCCCTCACACCTGTCCTCTCACACCTGTCCTCTCACACCTGTCCCCTCTCACACCTGTCCCTCACACCTGTACCCCCTCACACCTGTTCTCTCACACCTGTTCTCTCTCACACCTGTCCTCTAACACCTGTCCTCTCACACCTGTCCCCTCACACCTGTTCTCTCTCACACCTGTCCTCTCACACCTGTCCCCCTTACACATGTCCCCTCTAAGACCTGTCCCCTCACACCTGTTCTCTTTCACACCTGTCCCCTCACACCTGTTCTCTCTCACACCTGTCCACTCACACATGTACCCCCTCACACATGTCCTCTCACACCTGTCTCCTCACTCCTGTCCTCTCACACATGTCCCCCCTGACACCTGTCCCCTCTCACACCTGTCCTCTCACACCTGTCCCCTCTCACACCTGTCCTCTCACACCTGTCCCCTCACACCTGTCCTCCCTCACACCTGTCCCCCCTCACACCTGTCCTCTCACACCTGTTCTCTCTACACTGACCTCTCACACCTGTCCCCCCACACCTGTCCTCTCACACCTGTCCCCTCACACCTGTCCTCTCTCACACCTGTCCTTCACACCTGTGCCCTCTCACACCTGTCCACTCACACATGTCCCCCCTCACACATGTCCTCTCACACCTGTCTCCTCACTCCTGTCCTCTCACACATGTCCCCCCTCACACCTGTCCTCTCACACCTGTCCCCACTCAGCTCTGTCCTCTCTCACACCTGTTCTCTTTCACACCTGTCCTCTCACACATGTCCCCTCTAAGACCTGTCCCCCTGACACCTGTCCCCTCTCACACCTGTCCTCTCACACCTGTCCCCTCACACCTGTCCTCTCACACCTGTCCCCACTCAGCTCTGTCCTCTCTCACACCTGTTCTCTTTCACACCTGTCCTCTCACACCTGTTCTCTCTTACACTGACCTCTCACACCTGTCCCCCTCACACCTGTCCTCTCACACCTGTCCCCTCACACCTGTCCTCTCTCACACCTGTCCTCTCACACCTGTCTCCTCACTCCTGTCCTCTCACACATGTCCCCTCACACCTGTCCTCTCACACCTGTCCCACTCAGCTCTGTCCTCTCTCACACCTGTTCTCTTTCACACCTGTCCTCTCACACCTGTCCCCCCTCACACATGTCCCCTCTAAGACCTGTCCCCCTGACACCTGTCCCCTCACACCTGTCCTCTCACACCTGTCCCCCCTCACACATGTCCCCTCTAAGACCTGTCCCCCTGACACCTGTCCCCTCTCACACCTGTCCCCACTCACACCTGTCCCCTCTCACACCTGTCCTCTCACACCTGTCCCCCTCACACCTGTCCTCCCACACCTGTCGCCCCTCACACCTGTCCTCTCACACCTGTTCTCTCTTACACTGACCTCTCACACCTGTCCCCCTCACACCTGTCCTCTCACACCTGTCCCCTCACACCTGTCCTCTCTCACAGCTGTCCTCTCACACCTGTCCCCCCTCAGACCTGTCCCCCTTCACACCTGTCCTCTCACACTGTTCTCTCTCACACCTGTCCTCTCACACCTGTCCCCTCTCACACCTGTCCCCTCACACCTGTACCCCTCACACCTGTTCTCTCACACCTGTTCTCTCTCACACCTGTCCTCTAACACCTGTCCTCTCACACCTGTCCTCTCACACCTGTTCCCCCTCACACCTGTCCCCTCACACCTGTACCCTCACACCTGTTCTCTCTCACACCTGTCCTCTCACACCTGTTCTCTCTCACACCTGTCCTCTCACACCTGTCCCCCTTACACATGTCCCTCTAAGACCTGTCCCCCCTCACACCTGTTCTCTCTCACACCTGTCCTCTAACCTGTCCTCTCACAACTGTCCTCTCACACCTGTTCCCCTCACACCTGTCCCCACACCTGTCCCCCTCACACCTGTCCTCACACATGTCCCTCTCACACCTGTCCCCCTCACACTGACCTCTCACACCTGTCCCCCTCACACCTGTCCTTCACACCTGTCCCCTCACACCTGTCCTCTCTCACACCTGTCCCCTCTCACCTTTCCCCTCACACCTGTCCCCTCACACCTGTCCCCACTCACACCGTTCCTCTCACACCTGTACCCTCTCAGACCTTTCCCCCTCACACCTGTCCCTCTCAGACCTGTCCCTCTCACACCTGTTCTTTTTCAAACCTGTCCTCTCACACGTGTTCTCTCACACCTGTCCTCTCACACCTTCTCTCACACAGGTTCTCTCTCACGCCTGTCCTCTCACACCTGTTCCCTATCAGACCTGCCCTTCTCACATCTATCCTCTCAGACCTGTCCCCCATCACACCTGTCCTCTCACACCTGTTCTCTTTCACACCTGTCCCCTCTCACACCTGTCCCCTCACACCTTTTCTATTTCACACCTGTGCCCCTCACACCTGTCCCCCTCGCGCGTGTCCCCTCACACCTGTCCCCCCTCACACATGTCCTCTCACACCTGTCCCCTCACACCTGTTCTCTTTCACACCTGTCTCCCCTCACCCTTTCCTCTCACACCTGTCCCCACTCACACCTGTCCTCTCTCACACCTGTACCTTCACACCTGTCCTCCCTCACACCTGTTCTCTCTCACACCTGTTCTCTTTCACACCTGTCTCTCTCACACCTGTCCTCTCTCACACCTGTCCCCTCACACCTGTCCTCCCTCACACCTGTCCTCTCTCACACCTGTTCTCTTTCACACCTGTGTCTCCTCACACCTGTCCTCTCACACCTGTCCCCACTCACACCGTCCCCTAACCCTGTCCCCACTCACACCTGTCCTCTCTCACACCTGTTCTCTTTCACACCTGT